TGGAACCCCCCTTGGGTTCTTAGAGGTTCTTAGTGAAAAAGGGATTCTTAGAACTGGTTCTGGGCTAAAAGCTTTTCAATTATGAATGGTTGAACTTTTCAATGAGGATTCACACTTAGATAATTAGTTTCTGACTTATGTTCATTGGGTGACTTGAACAATTGGTCAGAACTCCATTGTTTACCACATGTTGCAGGCTGAAATCGATGTTCTAGGACATACAGTGAGATAGACACACTAGACTAAAGTTACATGTTTTTAAACATTGCATTTCCCACAGGAGAGAGAGGACTGGAAAAAATCTATATAAATTTGAAGTGGTTTCAATAGTAGGAAATGTTCAGGTCAGCAAAAAAAGAACAAAGAAGCGATGTTTGCGTTAGCCTTAGCAAGGCCCCCTGGAATCAACAAGAAAATTGCATCATGTTTCAATCCAACTTCTTGATACCTTCACTGATTGCATTGGACATCTAATCACAAACCCAAATGCATAGCATAGATTCATGCTTACATGTAATATATGAATTTTGAAATGATTGCAATTTTCAATAAAACTGCTTATGGCATCTCTGGATAGCTGTTATATATATATAACTTGTTATATACTATTAACACTGGGAAATGAAAACAATTGCTATATGAGTGGTTTACACGTATTTTTTTGGGGGGTGGTTCTTAGAACCTGAGCTGGGTTCTAAGTGGTTCTTGGGGGCCCATGGACTACGCCCTGGTTCTGGACTACGCCCCTAAAGTGGAGCCTGAATACATGGTAGCTAGTTGCTGAGCAGCAGGGACCGGCACTAACAAATATATACAAATGTGACAACAGAGCGACCTCTTTGTTTAACAATTAATGATACAGTAAGTGCCTGTAAGCAAGGTCACTGATACACCACGCTTGGCGTGCATCTTTCCAGATTCCGAAAGAATTGAGCGCGCAACGATGGGGCGACTAGGACTAGAGATGCATTCCGATACTGCAGTCTCGCTAGTTCTCTAGTTCTCAAATAAAAGCAAAAGGATGTTTGTCATCATGCACTTCATCATTCCCAGCATCCAAAATATCCTCAAACCGAGAAGCTTGTGACTTGAGGGATGTTGATGGCTGTCACAATGACATTCCCTAAAGCACTCTCTTAGAAGTCTAGACTCTGGTCTGCCTCTTCTTTCTCCCTGGGACACGGCCGCTGCTCACCAAGTCCATCTTGGGTGCCCGCGCCATATCCGCCCTCCTCTCGCTCGGCTCGCTGGGCTTCTGCCCGCCGCTGGCGCCGCCTTTGGAACGAATGAGAACGACGAATGATCGAATGAGAACGACGTGCGAATCCAAGAACCCAAGGGGCTCAGGGGAGGAACAGTTTTCATTGTCTTCCATTGGTCAGTTGGGTGGGGTTACATCGACTTTAATTGCCCTTGGAGCATCCATCATGTTGCTCAAAATGTTCAGGACCTCAGACCTCTCAACATGTGCCATTCCTAAAGCTGCAATTGTGTTTGCGCACAGTCACAAATTCCAAACGTTGTGGACTAGCAAAAGATCCAAAGTTCACAAAACAAACAGTTGTTCGGTGGGGATATAACCTTACAGCCTACCAAACCACCCAGCCAAAACCAGTGGTTGAGGGATGTATCTCTCTTCAAGGCTTGAACAAAGAAACACGCAGCAAAACGGAAATTCTCCGAAACGGACTCCATTGAGCTGGCTCTTTGTTTGAACAAGAAGAGCCTCAATCAAGAAAAGCTGGTTGGCTGAACTGATGACGAACGCTCGCCTCTCGGCCCTTAAAGCAGCCATCTCAAAGAGCGAAGGCCTGGGCGGACATCTGAGGATTCCTGGCAGGCCTGGCGATTCCACATTCGTGGCCAGGCCTGGCACCTAAAACACACCTGTAGTCCGCAATAATGGCCTGGCACCCAAACATCATCCCTGATCCAAGAAGTGCCCAGTGGTCGCATCGCACAGGCACCAGTACTGGCACCCGTATACGGCTGATGGGCCTGTCTGTGCTGAACATGTCACTCCTGGCAAACCTGGTGGGGCTGAATTGGAGGCTGTCCTTTCATTTCACTGCGGGGGCTGGCCCAAGCATCGTTGCAGTGTTTAGTTAGTCTTAGTCCTGGGCACAAAAAGGGTGTGGGACATGCACGCAGGTGGGTCACGGGTCACCTTCACAACCTGCCAAGGCTTCCAAGACCCACCAGCAACCCGTGCGGATCAGCTAAAGCCTTTAACACACAGATTGTCAGCATCGGGTTTGGGCACAGCCTCTTCTCATCTGGTCAGCTTCAACCTACATCACTCTCCCTTTACATATGTAAACCAAAGAAATGCATGAATACTCCATTGTAGCCAAAATCTACCAAAAGAATTGCTAAGGTATGGACCACAAAAAGATCAAAGCATGCAGCCCCAAAGCAGAATCCATCCATATCCATACATTTACCATCCATATCCATCCAACTGACACTGTCCTCACCCTCCATATCCATCCATATCCAAGCATATTGTAAGCAAATGTAAGCAGCACTCCGTCCGTCCATCTCTGTTCTGATGCCACATGCCATGATTCGAACAAACCCGACCGCGCCGGGCCACGTGGGTGGGACACAGCCGCAGTCCTCGGAGTTCGCGAAGCAAAACGGGTGGGGGAGAAGGACTCTGCTTCATTCTTCATGAAATATGTATGTAGATAATACTATAGATAATGTGCCACTTATATACATACTTATATATATATGAGAGAGATAATTAATATAAAAAATGCACAAAATTGTCTCATTGCCCATGGAATGACCGGGCAATCAAGGGTCTGGGTTTATATGATCCTTTCATCAAGTTGTCTGAACATGGATCCATCCATGGATCTTTGACCTGGTCGGAAAGGTGATCCGACACACAGGTCGAGGGCCAGAGTCTCTTTGCGAGTCTGCAAATGGTTGACGTAAGCAATTTCATATGCATTGTCGGGGACTTGGTGGGCCAGGGCCGAACAACCAAACGGTGTGGAACATGGTAAGAAGACAGTGGAGCATACAAATCATGGACAACCACGGAGCCTGTTGTTTGCTGTTGGAGAACGCATGCTGATGACTTGCTGATGCCCAAAGTTTGTTTTGGGAAGAGTGCAACAATATGTCGCTGTCAAACTCAACATCGTTTATCCCAGCATTGCCTTTCGGCAGGAACGTTGCTGGAAGCAACTCACTTTTCCTAGCGTGTTGTTGTTGGACAGCAAGGCAGCAGCAAAAGCAACCAAGCAGCAAAGCAAAGCAACCGCAAACTAGCAAAATCCAGCGGAGGAGAAACCAAAGCCATAGATCAACAATGAACAACACATTGACATCAACCAGCAAAAATTGCAACAAACATCAACAAACTGCATTCTGCCGTTTCTCGTGACATCACTTCGCCTCCAAGCAATTCAATCTGCACAACGACTGCGATACACAGAACATGCTGAAATGATAACCCACCAGGATTGCAATCCTAAGGACCCTAACCAGGATTCAAGCCGGGACATTGGGGCCCTGCGTAAAGATCAACATTGCTAAACTCTAGTACGTGTAGTCTCGACCTTCAGGCAATTGGGAATTCTTCCCTGTAAAAAACACACCTGCGAAATCGAGAACTCGGCTAGCTAGCGCTACCTTTCGTGATCAAGGAGCGCAGCGTGCGCCATGTGGTGCGGACTCCATCAGCGACGCCTGAGGCAAAACGGTTGAACACTCTGCTGGTCTTGGTGCTGACAAGAGCTTGAAGACACAAACAGAAACACCAAATCCAAAAGCACCCGGTACGCCATGATCACCAAGCATTTTTCTGGTCAGTTAGTCGCGGCTGCGCCGGTCCTCACATGGTCCTCACACCATAGCAGGGATGGATGTTCGAGTGCCGTAGGTGTCTGAAGTAGTGCTTTTTGGCAGCATCGTGACAGGACAAACATCAACATCGACAGTGCTGCGGCATTGAAAATAGGTTTATGAGGCGTTATGTTTCTAAAGCTATTGCAGCGGCCGGACAACACACGCGCATGGACTTTAAAGAATCTCTGCAAACGACGTGATGATCTGAATCCCTTCTATCTGAGCCGGCCAGGTGCACATGTGATTTTAGATACACTGGTGGGATGGTTCTCCTACACTGCTGGGAGAAAAAATAGCTGCAGCGGAAGAAGTGGTGATGTGGAAGCCATTAATTACAATGGTGCCCGCATTTCTTGCAAAAAGTCAGTGGACAAGCTGTTATGCCGGTTAAGCAAACAATTTATATAAAGCAAACCGTAAACCCTTGGAGGAATCTGCCTTGTGGCCGGATGCTTTGTTTCACTGACTCAAGGGTTAGACTAGTGACCAGGAAATCCAAGTGACTTCCTGTAGGCGACTTGAGTACGGAATGCAGTTTCATGCGGATATGAAATGCAGTCAGGACTGCCCAAGGAGGAAGTAAAGCTGACCACCCAAAAGCAAGCCATGCCTATATAGTTGCTTTCATAAACCCAGCGGGTGACTTAAATATCTTGAACTGCACGCGGTGCGAAATCTCTTCCACAGAACAAAAATGCCTTCCATCCCTCCTCCATTCCGTGAGTTCCCCCTTTTCATCAACATGAGCTTTTCTCCTCCGTCACTTTCGGCGGTGGGCCTGGGATGCCATGCTCACCGTTGCTCGCCATGATGCGTTTCGGCAGGGATCGTGGGAGCAGGAATTACAATAATCCAAGATCCGAGAACATAAACTGTTTCCTCTTGATGTTTGATGTGACATTTTCCATATGTCCCTATGTTCTATCTACTTCAGGATGGCTATACCGTAACCTGGCTCAAACATAGAACTTCCCCATGGGTTCATCCAACATGGTCGGAAGGCGGCCACAACTTTGGTATTCCATCGTCATAGACTCGACCGCATGTGGCACAAGAAGGGAATGATGTCACTTTCGTCGTCCCAGCAACGGTCATGCTTCCGAAAAAAGGCGCACAAAGAAAGGAGCGCAGGATCCTTTTTGCAAAGCCCACCGCTGGGTGTTTGATGGGTTAGCGCACTGAGCTCGAATCTGGGCGATGGATGTCATTTTCGATCTGTCCTCCCGGCCGCCGGTGGCTGCGAGCTGGCCCGATGCTCATGTTGCGGACTCCGGGTGAACAGGTTGCCCAGCATCCAGGAGCGATGCCGGCGCCGCTCACGGGGGACGCGCAAGGAACTGGCTCCCCGCTCCGCGGAGTTCTCACGCGAATGTGCTCGTTCATCATCCACTGGTACTGTGAGGTGGCGGATGAGAGCTGCAGATGAACCTCTGGGCTGTTCTGATCGCTTCGCCGGGGACACTAAGGGACCCTCATGGTCAATCTGCAACTCTTTGCTTGGAGCTCTAGAGGTTTTTTTGCTCTGCACGCCAGGGCTGGCGGCACCTGCAAATGACACCACTGTGGCTGGAGCTTGATTCTGAAATTGGGCCATGCCATGTAAGACGCGCCACATATGCACGGCCAAAGCTGCACACAGAAAGTCCGCCAGACCATTGCCAGCGACCAAGGCTGGCCACTTCATCACACTCTCATCACCCAAATAGAGCAAGTAGAGATCATTCAGTCCACTCACCACTGATATAAGGATGAAAACTGTCAAAGCACTCACAAAAGACACATCCTTCTGAATGCCGCAGCATTCATTGAAGAGCCAGATTTTACTCAAGCGCTCGTAGCATGCAAAGAAACATTCATCCTCACCACGAAGAAGGAACAGTCCCAAGATGGGCACGGCGGCATCGTTGAGACTGCCCCAAACGTCCAGGAAAAGGAAGCGGACAAAGACCACAGGCACCAGTAGAACCACCAAGATTTTCAAGGTCGTGCTACAACATCGCAAATCCCGTCCTGCCCTTCCCGCCATGCTTGGCATCTTTGCACCGTCATCGGACCGGACGAATTGCGGCATGGCCGAAATCTACCTTGCTTGTGTCTTCTTATCAATTTTTCTAGGATCATCCGTCTATGGCTTGGAATCCTCCAAAGTAGAAACTTATATAAATACATATAGCCACAGCATGCTACAACTCCGGCAATCAAAAGTTATTCAGAACATTGATAACTAGATATAGTCTAGTACTATTTAACAACTGAAATACATTGAAATACAACAGAACTAGAAGGCCCCCAACCCACACTACACATGTTTTTTCTGCAAAAACTCTGCAAGTATATTCAAAGTACAACATATGCACCGGATACGCTGGCGTGCTTGACTCTGTGCGCTGGCTTGGGCAAATCACGAAGGCATGAAGGCTAAATGCTTCTCAGATTGCTCATATATTTACCCCTGAGCGCAGCTGAGGCTGGGCTCCTCGAAAACATGAAGAATTCCAGGGAATCAGGATTGACATGTATGAAATGCTGTCTGCACCCTCCAGCGCTTCAAAACAGAAAGTTTGCAAAATCCTGTTTGCCCGTAAGTCAAATCCCTAAGAAAAAACTGCAAGAGCCCGACTTTCTCCTGCAGGCAAAAAGCGATACGCCAGGGGTATCTCGCACTTAGCCTGATCAAGTGCAAGATCCAGCCCACCACCATCCCTGGGCTGCGGGCCCTCTCTGTGAAGCTATGCGAAGCCCGGGACGGGGGCGCTATTTCTCGTGGCTTTGAAGTAGATACACGTGTACCTGGTGCGTGGTGCAAGTGAGCGGTGCAGCCCAAGGGCTCTGATCCGTCAGGGTGGCCGTTGAGGCCTGACATTCTTGGCCTTCACGATCTTATGGGCACTTGGATGTAGGCTGATTACAGGTGCAGTTCTAAGTTCTAAGGCTTTGGGCGCAGGCTAACCCACATCCAGCCACCTCTGGAGAAGCTTTTGGAGAACATATATGCCGTGCCCACACGGCGCCTCTTCACCAGCCTGGGGACCGCACTGCATCTGCATTAGGGACTCGGCGTTCTGAGCCTTGGCGCGGAAGGACGCCGTCTCTTTCGGAAAGATCTGTTGTTGAAGTGTCACTCGTCTTAGCCAAATGGAATATAATGTGGGCCTCTTATTAATAACCCCCCCTTGATGAAGTGTGGGCCCCAAATAATGTGATTTCCAGAAAAATCCTAGAAAATCTTGATTTGAATTGGAAATGAAAGGAATGGAAAGGAGATTGAAGGAAAGGAAAAGAAATGAAAGGAAAGGAAAGGACATTGAAAGGACAATGAAAGGACAATGAAAGGAAAGGAAAGGAAATTGAAAGGACAATGAAAGGAAATTTAAAGGACAATGAAAGGAAAGGAAAGACATGAAAGGAACATGAAAGGAAAGGAAAGGAAAGACATGAAAGGAACATGAAAGGAAAGGAATGGAAAAGACATGAAAGGAACATGAAAGGAAAGGAAAGGAAATTGAAAGGACAATGAAAGGAAAGGAAAGGAAACCTAAAGGACTTGTAAAGGAAACCACCAAAAGAACCAGCCAAAAA